ATGTGATTTGATAGACAGCAAGTCATGTTAAAAATAAATGAAAATGCCTTGCATATGTCTGTTTCCCTGTTGCCCAGAACTGTGGAGCATTGTCATTGATGTGGGAAGGTTCTTGCAGTTCAGACTTCTTCCAACCCCATCATTACTGGGGAAAGAGACTCTCTGGGGTGTGAGCAGGTGGAATTTTCAAGTAATCTCTCTTAAAAGCACTGGACAAGCATCGTTGAGTTCTATTGAAATCCTTCTTCATTCAAAACAGCATCAAACATGCCCTCTTTGAGAAAGGAAAGGAGCTGGCAGGCCAGCTGGGCCTCTGCGCCTGGTCACTGGGTGGGATGATAGAATGAAAGGAGTCATGTTGACAACTTGCCATGAGCTGAAGGGCTGGCTCTAATATGAGTATATTGGAGAGGATTGCTGCCAACCTTGTTTTCAGTACTCTAATGTGGGCTAGAAGTCCCAGACTGCAGAACGTGATTTTGATCAGAGCAGTCATGAACAGTTTGCCAAACAACACAGATTGTGATGGAACATTGCATAGCCCCTTAGGCTATCTGTTCCACTGTGTTGCCAAGCAGGATAGTTCCTTGATGCCTTCAGTTCCCCAAATGTGGGTTTGTCCAACACCGTAGCAGGAGGCTGCATGATCAGGAAGAGTTTCCTCATGTCTGTCCTGAATTCCTGCCCTTACTGGAAGATATTGCTTTAGTTACAGTCCCTTACAGCTTTGTAAATGATTCCTCACTAACCTGGGTGTTTGTACCTTTCAGGTGTCTTTAAGCAATTATGTCTTTTCTCTGTCCTTTTTAGAGCTCACTTAAACAGTCTGCCTGACTTCCGTCCCTCCAGCTCCTCTGTCTTCTCCTGTGTCTGGGTTTGCTGCTGATGAGATGCCTAGAAATGTACACAGGGTGTTAGCTCAGTTTGCACCGTATCTCTGATTGTAGGTCACAAAGAGGGCCAGGCACTGCACAGAGCAGCAGAAACTCTAGGGTCCATTTTGAAAAGGAATATGAGTGCTTCTGAAAACATCTCTGGCCTGAGAATTATACTGTAATCTAAGAAAACAATACCATGAAAGAAAAACAGTCCTGGTTTGGCAAAGCCCTGGCTGGGATGATTTAGTTGGGGTTGGGCCTGCTTTTAGCAGGGGCTAGACTCAATGACCTGCTGAGGTCTCTTCCACCCCTGGGATTCTATGTGAGTGGGAAAGGAGTGCAAGGTCAGCAGCAAAGTTAACAGCTACAGAGAGGAGACCAAGATCTGCTGTCCTGTTTCTGCCATATCACACTGTGGGCTTGTGCCTGATGTGTCACCCACTTCTTCTCATTCCCAGGTTATTGCTGGTTATTGCATTACACAGAGGCCTTGGTCAGGCTTTAATGTGCTAGGCACTCTACAGGCAAGTGGCCCAAAGGCAGTCCCAGCACCTGAGTGCCCCCAGTTCAGGGTTCAGAGAGGGGGCAACAAGGCAAAAGGAAAAATTGGTATATTTGCACAAGCAGTCTTGGGAGTAGTTACAGTAGTTTAGAATTGCACTTTGGAATGGGGATTGCTTCCGGGCATTGAGGACAAGGGAGCCTGGCATGAGCCATGAGTGATCATGCGCTGCATCTTGTGAAGCCTTGTGCCTCACTAACAGCTGCTCTTCTTTTTCAGCTCAAAACCTCACAACGTGCGAGGTCTGTGGTGCCTGCTTTGAGACCCGCAAAGGGCTATCCAGCCATGCTCGTTCCCACCTGCGGCAACTTGGTGTGGCAGAGTCTGAGAGCAGCGGAGCTCCCATCGACTTGCTCTATGAACTGATGAAGCAGAAGGGCAAACCTGACAGCAGCCCAATGTCCCCAGCCCTCAGCAAAAAATCCAGCTCCCCCAAAGAAGGCACAGGCAGCTCCCCACGGCCAACACTGCTGTCTCTCAGCAAGACAGGCGACCGCTCACCAGAGCCCTCCGTGAACAAAGCAATCAAGTCCCCACCAGGCTTCTCCTCAAAGGGCCTGTCACAGCCAGGATCCCCCATCCTTAAGAAAGTGCCACCCACGCTCTCGGGATCCCCCTCTCTGAAAAACCCTGAGGACAAGACCCCAAAGCTGTCCCTGAGCCCCTTGCAGAGCTCTCCGAAAGCACAGTGGCCACAACCCGAGGAGGAAGGGCCTTTAAATCTAAGTGAGTCTCTCTACCTTTAGTGGTCCCCACTAGATGTGTGGCAAGAGAGCTGAGTGTGTGGGAAGTTGCTGCCCCAAACTCGATGCTGCCGGCTTGTTGGGTAACCTGCTACAAGGTGTCTCTGCACTACCCTGTGCAGAGAATGGGTGAGGGCTCTCTATTTCAGCCAGGGGTGGGACTCAGTTTAGCAGTCAGCAGTTTCCCAGTGAGGTCCTGTAGGGCTGCTGCTGTCTAACTTGGATATGCCTTGCAAATATCCACAGGGCAGTGAATCCAGCCCGGTTCTGGGCTGCACTTTGTCTTGCAGAAAAGCGTATGGCTCCTTTCTGCTCTCTGGAGGAGAAGTGCTAATCAGAGCTCATTGTGGGAGATGATTGTCATCTGTTTCTGATTTAAGTGGTGTGCGTATCTTCGCTCCTCCTCTGCCCAAAGTCAGTGCCCCTGCTACACTGACCGCTCTCCATGGCCCTCGGCAGCTCCTACCACATTTCTCTCCAGCCAGAAAGTGGAGCAGGCCACCTCCTGTGTGTGTTTGTACCAGGGCAGCCAAATTGGTTGTCCATCTTGCTATTTCTCTCCGTGTGTGTGCACCAGCCATCACACCAGTCCTGTTTGGGGAGCTAAGCAAGTCTGTCAGCCATGTGCCTGATCCTATGTTCTGGGATAGTTCTCAGAAGGAACTGTCCTGGAAGATGTCCTGCTGCCTTCCAACTTCAATCCAAGACTCTGTATAGCTGTTCCCTGCAATGCCCTGTATCTGTTGGGAAGCAAAGGGCATTCTGGGATACAACAGCCCATCCTTAGTCTGACTTAACTTTGCCAACTGACTAGTTTTCCTTTTCTATAAAATTTGAGCTGAGATACTCCCCCCCCTCCAGCCAGACTGAGGCAGTGCAGGGATTGATCAGTGCGGCATGATTGAGTTCTGAGAAGACTCTTCAATTCTGCAGAGAAAGCACAGGTGGATTTTCTCAGCAGCTCTTGTCTAAACTGGGTTGCAGCAGTTGAATGTCAACTCTGAGCGAGAGGTGAAGCATCAAGTGCTGACTGCTTGTGGAATTAGCAACTGGAAATAGTCTTAAATGTACACAACGAATTACCCATTGCTCCTCCAGCCCACATACATGCACCACACTCCTTGCGAGGACTCCTGTGTCAGGGCAGTCCATTGATTTACACAGTGTGAATGCTGCCATATCTAAGCTAAGCAGAGTGTGGTTTGGAGCAGAATATCAAGTTTAATATTCCTCTTCTAGGTTTTGTAAATAACAGTAGTTCTGATCTGACAGAACTGGACTGAACTCCTCTCTCGGAAGTGGGCAGCAGCAGCACAAGCTGTTGCATAGTCCCCTGTTCCCAGGGTCTCATCTCACCTGGGATGATCTTTAGCACTAAAAGGGAGTTTGATGTCTCTGGCACATCCAAAGCACATCCTCAGTAGCACCTGTTTGTGCTGGTGTGCTTTATTATTGTCCATTTGGATCGGGGCTTTCACAGACCAGCCATCCTAGCCAGGCCCCTACAGACAGAGTTCCATGTCTCAGTCTCCCTTGCTGTTGTTCATCAAGGTTTGTGTCATTCCAAATGGTCGGCTGACCTTTATCTATCACTTTAGTGAACTCATCCACAGCCTAGTTTACCTGAGCACTGAAGCCCTGAATCCATTCTGATTTAGATGTGGTTGATTCTGCTGCTCTTGTTCTGCTGAAAGAAACAATTGTGAAAGTGACGGTCTCATGCCCTGGCATCCTCGTGTCTCAATCCTCTTCTGCCCAGTTACAACAACCAAGCCTAGATTTCTCAGTTATGCAAGTCATTGAGATGGCAGTTGGCCCATGTGTTAGCCTTCATGTAGGCTGCTGGGGTCTGGCTGGTCAATCTGAGCTCAGCCATTTTGGGAGTAGCCAGCCGTATACTTGAGTGCAGATTTCAAACCAAGAAGTTTGCCATTACCTTGTCATCTTATGTGCTTGCTTGACATTGATAGACTTGCACAGAAGAGACTGCTACTGTAAGTGCATGTGGCAGTTTGTCTGCAGAAATTTTGCATGAACTTTGTGAGCTTTTAATGATCAACACACCAGTTCTGCATGTGCTCAGTAACGACATTCTGGTCTTCACTCTCAGCCATTCAAGTGAGGAGTCTTTCCCAGTGCCTCAGAAAGCCCTATCCCTTGTTAATCTCTCCTTGCCTCCTGTGGGATGGCCTTGCAGAAGTCACCAACTTCTGGAGATGAAATCCCTTTTAAAAATCAGATTGCGTCTAAAATGAGGTCTGCAGTATTCTCTACTACTTAGCAGGGACAGAGGAAGGAGAATGCCTGAAGCTGGTTGTATTTGGTTCTGTACCAGTGTCGACATTGCACAGCAAGCATGAGGAGTCTGTGTCCCCAGCATGGTTTTAAGGTTTGCTATTGCAAACAGCTGGGGCTAGGGTACACCAGGCATTAGCACTTACCTGAAAGTTTGGTTTGTAGTCCCATCCAGTTGCAAAATGTTGGACTTTAAAATCATTCCATTCTGATTATCTTCCTGCTGTTTCCCCATGTGAAATCTTACCCAATTATAGCAGCCGGTACCATTGGGGTCACCTAGAGCTGAAACTAGAGCCTTATGCCATCTGACACTTTGGCGTTCCAGCTTTCAAATGGCGTAAAGTGCTAATCTGTGAATCTAGTGATTCCTGGCATGTTGGCTATTGAAGTGATATGGGAAGGACTGCTTAGCTGAAGGAGCAACACATAGGTTTTCAGGAATGGTAACATTCTCCAGAGACTGCTCCTGGGCCAGCGAACAGGAAATAAGAGGTTGATCCCTGGTTACTGTACGCAGCCTTTGGCTACCACCTTCTAAAGCTGCTTGGCACATGTGGTAAATGGAGACACAGAAATGATGAAGTTCTGAAAGTCAAAGTTTTTGATGGAATTCCAGCATAACCCCCAGGGAACTGCCACAGCAGTGCTGCCTGGGCCAGCGTGAAAATGTACCTTTCCTTTAGGGCTTCCAGTTTAAAATCGCTAGAGACTGAAGCGTATATCCTCTTCATTGGAGAAACAACCCAGGCCACTTGAACCAAGTCCCTATTGGGTTGTAACTGGTGCTTGAAAGACATTTTCAGTGACCGTATGTATTATGATCAATGTGTTTTCTTTCCGCAGCTGTAGATAGTGACTCGGGCAAAGACATTGACTGCCAGTTATGTGGTGCCTGGTTTGAAACCAGAAAGGGGTTATCGAGTCATGCTAGAGCCCACCTGAGACACCTGGGAGTGAATGATCCAGATGCCAAAGGCTCTCCAATTGATGTTTTAAATGACCTCATCCAAAGTGAAGACTTCAAAAGCCGTCTTTCCTCTCTCCTCCCTAGTGAGAGAAAATCATTAGTGGAGGCTGGGAGCTTGGACAGACCCAGCCCCAAGAGCACAGCTGCAGCAACACCTGCAACAGGCATGAAACAACCACCAAGGCCTTTGGGCAAACAGCCAGCCATCCTCTCACCTCACTCCCTTCCACCATCCAAGAAACTGAAGCCACAAACGCACAGGTTGTCAGCTGAGGCCAATCTGCACAGAAAACAGGGCCTTTCCTCCAGCGCGTACTGGGCTTCAGATGCTGGGATGTCTCCACTCAACCTCTGTAGGTTCTCTCTCATCACTGCTTCCTCTTCCCTCCTCCTCTCCCCCTTGTTTACATTGAGCAAGGCCTGGTGCCACTCCCTATCATGGCTTCACCGTAGTGTGGCTAACGCAGGGAACTGGACATCAAGACTCCTGGGTTCTGTTCCCAGTGCTGGGATGGAGTGTAGACCAGGAGCTTGGGAGTCAGGATTCCTGGGTTCTGTGTCAGAGCAATGACAGAGAATCAGCTGGGCTCTTGGTCACACCCCTTTGGTTTTCCTTTTCCCCATAAAGTGCTCTCTCCTACCACTTTCTGAGCCAGCTTCTGTGTCCTTCCTCAGTCAGGCACAATCCCTCATTCCTACTCCAGTCCTGAGTAGATAACACAGCCCAACCCTTTCCCTTCCCAGGTAACACCGGGCACCTGCTTGGGCCCCGTCAGGAATCCTCAAGTCAAATGGGTTCTGACTGCTTGGCCACCCCGGGGGGCGGGGGAGGTGGAAGACCAAGCCATTTGCTCCTCTCGTATTGCAGAATGCCTGTTGTCTTGTGCAGACTGAGCTATCTTGGTACTGCTTGATAGACAGGAACTGCTGAATTTTCTAGGGAACTCAGAGGCCTAACCTTACAGTGTGTCATGGTGACTTGGTGCCTGAACCCTGCTAGAAAGCCCAGGGCTGTGTGTTTTCATCTTGGGTTGAAATTGCCCTGCCTGTCCTTGGCAGCAGGGGAATCAGCCTCTCTTGTCCTTTCATTCCAGGCTACTATTCATCAAGTCTGGGTGGGGGTTTCTGTTTCTATTCTCCCCTTAACTTGGTGCAAAAAAGGGGGTGGGTTCTGCTTTCCCCTCCAAACGGGGAGGGATAATAAAGACTGAGGTTAGTTTGTGCACTCTCTTCTCTATAAACTGGTGATGTAATGCTGATTGGCTGCTAAGCTTTCCCCATTTCAAGCAGCCTGTAAGACAATTTGTAAATTGCATCCACTCACCGCTAAGCATTTACCTCCAGGAAATTGCATGGCTCAGACCGCAGCTTGCTTATGGTGGCAAAAATATATATACTGCTTCATGTTTTTATTCCTCTTGCTCCTTCCAAGCACGCACTGTGAAATCAGGATTCCTGGATCACACTGCAGGCAGGAGATCTGCAGAAGCCAAGGGGAAATGGGGTTAAGATCCATTGTGTTTGAAAGAAAAGTGCTCAGCATTTTGATTAGTCCAGAGGGAACAGGACACACTTGGTGTAGCTGCTGGGTGGACAGCAAACCAGCACACAATACCTCCCTGGGTGACCAGGCTAACTAGACAGCTCATTCCAGTGTCTGTGGGAAGTAGATTCAAACAAGTGTGGAATATATGTCTTCATCCGGGCTCTAGCATGCCTGCTCGTCCCCTTCCTTCCCTCAGCATGCAACACACATGAACACCCGCCTCCAAAGCCATGGGCAAGCAGGACATGCACACAAAAGAAGACACTGAAGTAACTGTATTCTCCCAGGCCTGGACCGCAGCTCCTACTGCGACCTTTAGCCACAGTGGTGGCTGTGGCTAGGCTCACTGAGTGCCTGCTCTCTGCCCCTGCCATCAAAGCCTGCCCCATGTGCTCTGTCCTCCCTGCACTGCCCTTGTCTATCGCATTTCCCAGGGATCGTTTGATGGTTTGATTCCTTTCATTGAGATCAGCTTTGCCATTGTCTTGTCTTCTGGTGCACAGTGTGTTTGCATTGGGCTGCCCTGTTGGGGGGATTGGCCCTGCTAATATTTCAGTGCCCCAGCAGCGTAGGGCCGTGCCTGCCAAGTGCTGCAGTCAATGCACTTTACTCCTTCTTTCAGCCTCTGGATCAGAGCCTGTGCGGGACATCCGGTGCGAGTTCTGTGGCGAGTACTTCGAGAACCGGAAGGGGCTCTCCAGCCATGCCCGGTCCCATCTGCGCCAGATGGGGGTGACCGAATGGTATGTCAACGGCTCCCCTATCGACACACTGCGGGAGATCCTCAAACGCAGAGCTCAGTCCCGGGGCAGCACCACAAATCCACCAACCCCAGGGCACAAAGCCATGACCAAGACCGTCATCGGCAACATGGGATCGCTGGAGCTCCGCAACCCAGGAGAAATTCATGTGCCGCCCCGGGAGGGTCCGGCAGCCAGGGAGTCCCATGGGACACTCTCCTACCTCCTCCCCACCCCCAACAGCCAGGAAGATGTTTCCAGGGATGGCGCCTCCCTCTTTTCAGAAGAAGCTGAAACAAGACCAAATGAGAATGGAGATCAAGCGAGAGATGATGTCTGGGAACCTCCATGGTGAGCCCCATCCGTCCGACAGGGCCTGGTCTCCACGGGAAGAGCTGTCCCCTCTGAACCTCTGTAAGTGTGAGCAGCAACATTCCTGCCAGCATGGGGGGTGACCGAGCTCAGTGATCGCCTGCCGTAGTAGGCAAGAGCAGGGGAGGGAGGAGGAGAGAACTCAGCAGTGTTGGGCTACAGCAGCGGGCTGGGAGTCAGGACTCCTGCGATTGGTTCCCAGCTCTGCCACTGATCACTCTGGGCACATTGGTTCCCTGGCTGTTAATTAGGAACAACACTTCTCTCTCATGGGGGGTATGTGACAGTGGTGGAAACGTAGTTTGGGATCCTCAGGTGCCATACTGCTGGGTGTCAGGGATAGAAGGCTGCAGTAACCTTGGTTGGTAGATCTGCAGCATGCGGGTTATGGGGTGGTGCCAGTCTGAGGACTCCAGCTGGGCTGCCACTTGGGGGGCTCGAGGCACTCCTTTCTCCATCTCTGCCCCTGCAGCCTCCCGTGCTGACCCTGTGAGAGACATCCGGTGTGAGTTCTGCGGCGAGTTCTTCGAGAACCGGAAGGGGCTGTCCAGCCATGCCCGGTCCCACCTGCGCCAGATGGGTGTGACTGAATGGTCTGTCAATGGCTCCCCCATTGACACACTGCGGGAGATCCTCAAGAAGAAGTCTAAGCCCTGTATGATCAAGAAGGAGCCCCATGCTTCCAGCATAGAGTCCCTCAAGCCAATGGCCGAGGAAGGTGCAGTTCCCAAATCCCCTGGGAAAATGCTGCAGGCCATGTCCCTCCCCTCTCTGGGTGGAAGGACGGGGAAGCCTAACCCTGGAGGTTCCAGTCTCAGCAGGGAGATCCCACTCTCGCCACTCACCAGCAAACCCCACGGGGGCTTCCTGACTCCTATCTCCACAAAGCGGCCACTGCAGGAGGAGCGGCTTGGGGGCCATGGTGAAGTCAAACAGAAGACCTACATCCAGACCGAGCTCCCCTTCAAAGCCAAGGCGGCTCATGACAAGCCCGCACACACATGTAAGTGGGGCTGGGGGGAGGGAGAGATCTGAGGCATGGCCCCATCCTGGTGGGGGAGAAGGCAAAGAGCCCTACAGTAGAGAGCCATGCCAGGGCCCCGTGGACGGGTGGAAAGCTGTGCTGGGGTGTTTAACATTTTCCAGCACTGAGAGATTTCCTGATTCATTCTCTCCTTTGCTGCCCCATGCCCAGGAACCAAGAGAGCAGAAGGGGTCTGGGGAGTCCACTGCTCCAAGCTTTTCATCTGGTGCCACAAAGCTGCAGGTTGCACGAGCAGCGTGCCTAGTACTAGAGGAAGTTCTGAGTCCTTACCCGTGCATATCTACACTGAACCTGGAAGTGGCTTTCCAGCACAGGTAGACAGATACGCTAGCTCTGCTGAAGCTCACAACAGCAGTGCAATTGGGTTTGCACAGGCAATGGCTTGAGCTAGACACTTGGATACACACTTGCCTTGACTATCTGGTATACCCAGATGGCTAGTTGGAGCTGACCACCTGGGCTATTTGGGGCTACACCACTGTAAACATAAGACCAACCAGACTTGGTCAGGCCAAAGGTCTGTCTAGCCCAGTATCCTGTCTCTCAACAGTGGCCAATATCAGGTGCCCCTGAGGGAGTGAACAGAACAGGCAATTGTCAAGTAATCCATCCTCTGTTGTGTTAAGCATTTCCTTTTATTTGTTTTAAACCTGATGCCTATTAATTTCATTTGGTGCCCCCCTAATTCTTGTACTCTGGGAAAGGAGTGAATAGCTCTTTTTTATTGTCTTTCTCTAAGATAGTCATGATTTTAGAAACCTCTATCATATTCCACTTAATCATCAATTTTCTATGTTGGAAAGTCCCATTTTAGTAATCCCTCCTCATATGGCAGCCATTCCGTACCCCGAATGATTTTTGTCGCCCTTTTCTGAACGTTTACTAATGCCAATATATCTTTTCCACACATGCACACAGTATTCAAGATGTGGGAATACCATGGATTTATTTAGAAGCAATAAGATATTCTCTGTCTTAGTCTCCATCCCTTTCTTAATGATTCCAAAGCTCCAGGGAGTAGCCTGCTTTTTTTTTTTTTGTTACTACCGCTGCACATTGAGTGGATGTTTTCAGAGAACTATCTAAAATTTCTCCCTTAAGTGGTATCAGCTAATTTAGCTCCCCTCATTTTCTGTGTAGAGTTAGGATTATGTTTTCCAATATGCATTACTTTGCATTTATCAACTTTGAATTTTATCCATCATTTTGTTGCCCAGTCACCTAGTTTTGTGAGCTCCTTTTGAAGCTCTGGTCTGCTTTGGTCTTAACTATCTTGAGCAGTTTAGTATCATCTACAGATTTTGCCACCTCACTGTTTACTTCCTTTCCAGATCATTTATGAATACGTTGATTAGGATTGGTATTAGTACAGACCCCTGCAGGACACCACTAGTTACTTTTGTCCATTCTGAAATGTGACTGTCTATTCCTACCCTTTGTTTCCTGTCTTCTAACCAGTTATCAGACCATGAGAGGATATTATTATTATTATTTATCTTATTAATTTATTCCCAACCCTCCTATCCCATCCCATGACAACTTACTTAACTTAAGAGCCTTTGGTGAGGGATCTTGTCAAAGGCTTTCTGGAAATCTAAGTACACTATATCCACTGAATCCCCCTTGTCCACTTGCTTGTTGATGCCCTCAGAGAATTCTATTGGTCAGACATGATTTCTCTTTACAAAAAACATGTTGACTCTGTCCCCAATAAATCATGTTCATCTGTGTGTCTGATAATTCCATTCTTAATTATGGTTTCAACCAGTTTGCCTGGTACTGAAGTTAGACTTACTGGCCTATAATTGCCAGGATCACCCCTAGCGCCCTTTTTAAGAATTGGTGTCACATTAGCTATTCTCCACTTATTTGGTACAGAAGTAGATTTAAATGACAAGTTACAAACCTCAGTTAGTATTTCTGCTATTTCACATTTGAGTTCCTTCAGAATTCTTGGGTGAGTGCCACCTGGTCCAGGTGACTTATTATTATTTAGCTTATTAATTTATTCCCAACGCTCCTGTAATGACACCTTAACCTTCGACCATTCCTCAGATTTGCCTAAAAAGAATGCCTCTGGTTTGAGAATCTCCCTCTCACCTTCGCTCCTGAAGACTGATGCAAATAATTCATTTTATTTCTACACAATGACCTTATTGTCCTGGAGTGCTCCTTTAGCATCTTGATCATCCAGTGGCCCCACTGGTTGTGTAGCAGGCTTCCTGCTTATGATGTGTTTAAAAGAATTGCTATTACTTCTTGAGTTTTGACTAGCTGTTCTTCAAATTCCTTTTTGACCTTCTTAATTATATTTTTACACTTCATTTGCCAGTGTTTATGCTCCTTTCTATTTTCCTTACTAGGATTTAACTTCCACTTTTAAACGCCTTTTTATTTCACACTGCTTCATTTAGTTGGTTGTTAAGCCATGGTGATGCTTTTTTGGTTCTCTTACTATGGTTTTTAAATAAGCATTTACATTGAGCTTCTATTGTGGTGGCTTTGAAAAGTTTCCATGCAGCTTGCTTTTTGCACTGTCCTTTTAATTTCTGTTTAATTAGTCTCTTCATTTTGGTGCAGTTCCCCTTTCTGAAATTAAAAGTCACAGTGTTGGACTGCTGTGGTGTTTTTCCCACCACAGAGATGTTAAGTTGAATTATATTATAGTCACTATTTCCAAGCAGTCCAGCCATATTCACCTCTTTGCCAAGATCCTATGCTGTACCGAGTATTGTAGGTGCCAGAACCAGCTGCTCCAAGAAGCGGTCATGTAAGATGTCAACATTTTATCTCTGCATCCCGTCCTGAGGTGATGTGTACCCAGTCAATTTATGGATAGTTGAAATCTCCCATTATTCGAGTTTATTTTTATAGCCTCTCTAATCTTCTTTAGCATTTCAAGGCCATTATCACCATCCTGGTTAAATGATCCATAATTAATCCCTACTGCTAATGGGATTTATTTATCTTACTAGAGGATTTACCTGGCATTGCTTCGGCCTTAACTAGGGATGTAAAAAGTTAACTGATAGGGGCCGGAGCACCGGGCAGAGGGCTGTTGCAGCCCTGCGTGACCTGCTGGAGCAGCCCCTGCCTGTGGCATGCCCAGCCGGCCCTCCCCCACCCCCACCATATGTTACACACCCTAGATTACATGTACTGTGGGCTCGGTAATATAAAGCTTTTTAGTGGTTATACAGTTACATTTTTAACCTCATTTTTCATCCCTGTCCTTAACTCAAGTAACTTTTGTTTTTCTTCTTTTAAATCATTGCTCTGGAGTGGGGCTGGGGATGAAGGGCTCAGTTTGCATGCTGCCCTTGGGAGAGCGGGCTGCCCCAACTCCCTCTCACCTCACCAGCTTGGGGCCAGGTGAGAAGTGCTTCTCTATGGCCGCTGCAGCTCCAGCGGGCACAGCCAATGGGGGGGGTGCATGTCTCCCGGCTGGGAGGGAAACACACACGATATAACCATTCCTACTACCAGACCCCTCCCTTTCTTTTTGATGAGAAACAGTCTAATTCCAGTCATGTCCCATTGTCTTGGCACGACCAATTCCATGCCTTGCTTTAAGCAATGAGAAGAGGAAGATGCATTCCAGATTTGGTGGTCCTGCTCTTATTTAGGAGGAGATGAACAAACAGACTCTCAGAAGCGACAAGGAGTCCTGTGGCACTTTATAGACTAACAGATTGATTGGAGCATAAGCTTTCGTGGGCAAAGACCCACTTCGTCAGATGCATGTAATGGAAATTTCAGAGGCAGGTATAAATATACAGGCATAAGAAAAGAGTATCAATCAAAAGTAACGCTAGAGATAACGAGGTCAGTTCAGTCAGGGAGGATGAGGCCCACTTCTGGCAGCTGATGTGGAGGTGTGAACACCAAGAAAGGAAAAACTGCTTTTGTAGTTGACTATCCATTCACAGTCTTTGTTTAATCCTAAAATGATGGTGTCAAATTTGCAGATGAACTGTAGCTCAACAGTTTCTCTTTGAAGTCTGTTCTTGATTTTTTATTTTTTTTTGATGGACAGATGCACATTTCTAAAATATATGAGACTATGGCATGGAATTACTACACATAGGGCTCCTATGGAACAGTTTGGTTTGCTGAAGATTTTTACTTAATTTGATTTACATCATTTGCTTTCCTTCACATATAGTGCCACTCCCTCAGCAGCATGACCTGTTCTGTCCTGATATATTTTGTCCCGTGGTATTACTGTCCCCCATTGATTATCCTCATTCCACCAAGTTCCTGTGATGTCTAATATATCAATATGCTCATTCAAGGCACTCTAGTTCACCCATCTTATGATTTAGACTTCTAGTGTTTGTATACAAGCTCTTTAAAAACTTGTCACTTTCTAGCTGTCTGCCGTTACATGATGTGATTGAATGGGACTTTTTTATTTGACTGTTTCTTATCAGATCTTACCCAGCCCAATCAGAGCTAGCACATGCCTGTCTACCTGCACTGGGAAGTATCCTCCCAGAGCAGACCAGCCCTCAGAAGGAGCTGGCTGAGCTCCAGTGTGACCACCCGATGGCACAGGCAGTTTAGCCCCTCTCATGGCAGGGAGCAATCTGCTTCTTCCTGCTGGATCCTAGTGCTTCAGTGTGTCTCTGCCTTCCTGCTGCTGGGTGGTGCCCGCCTGCCTGCCAACTGCTGCCTAGGCCCCTCGCAAGCTTTCACTCCCTGCTCTCTTCCTAGCCAGTGAAGCCTGCTGCGAGCTCTGCGGCCTCTACTTCGAGAACCGCAAGGCACTGGCCAGCCATGCCCGGGCTCATCTGCGGCAGTTTGGTGTGACTGAGTGGTGTGTGAATGGCTCCCCCATCGAGACGCTGAGCGAGTGGATCAAGCACAGGCCTCAGAAGGCCGGAGCCTATCGCAGCTACATCCAGGGGGGCCGGCCCTTCACCAAAAAGTTCCGCAATTCATCCCACTCACGGGAGCAGGACGGCCCGGGGAAGAGGCTGCCCCTGGGCCTGCAGCCGGGCGCTGTGGCGCTTATGAGCAAGAGCCTAGTGGGTGAGATGGGACACAACGAGCCTGGCAAACTTCTGGATGGGGGCAGTAGCAGCGAGCGACCCATGGTCACCTCTCCGCTGTCGCTGGTGAAGGTGGAGGAGCATCGCCAGAACATCAACAGTGAGTTAGAAGCAGCCGCTTGTTGCCTGGGGGCTCCCTCGGGGTGCTGTAGGCTGACAAAGCCTGGGAGACCCTCGTCTGGCTCTTGCACCTCCTGCGCTTCCCCCAGAGAGGGAGGAAGGGAAGGGAGGGAAGGATTAGCCCACAGGATTAGCCCATCCTGTGTTCCTTGTCCCCCCCTCTCCCTCAAAGCCAATCCACTGTGTGATGTTGGAGGAGGAGAGGTGGGATCCATGGGTGGTGGGTGAAGCTTCCTCTTGGGGAGGCTACCTCTCTGCCCTGCCTCTTCTGGCCGAGCCCATGGCCCTACTTGCTGCTCTCCAAGCCCTCCCCAGGGGGTGAGAGCTCAATCAGGGCCACAGGCAGGGGATGAGAGCTTGTCGCCGGCCAGGACCACGGTGGACCGTTCAACCCTGGCTAGAGCCCCAGGCCAAGAGTCCCTCCCTGCTTCCATCCGTGGCCTTCCTGTCCATGTCCCCATCCCCATTCCAGTCCCTCTTCCCTCTGAGCCCCTTCACTCCTTTCTGTCCCTCCCTCTGCAGCCCCAGGACTGAAAGAGCTCTGTGTCCCCACTGCAGTGGGGGAGAGATTTCTGGGGTCCCAAATTAGCCCAGGCCCTTGGCCACAGGTCCCGTGGTCCCATGTGGTAATCTGCCACTGGTTCAACCACTTTTCTCAGGCAGCAGGAGGTTTGGGGGCGGTCAAGCCTCCATTGCACATGATGCCTGTGATGAGATCATACAGCCAGTCTCTGGGATGGGGTGCAGAGGTCTTATCAAGAAGGTGGAGTTTAGTAAACTCAGGGAGTTGGTAGGTAAGATTCTACGGAAAGCAAATCTCAGGGGAAAAGCAATTGATAACAGTTGTGAGTTTTCCAAAGCGCACAAGAGCGAACTATCCCACTGTGTAGGAAAGAGAGGAGGTATCACACAAGACCACTCTGGTTCCCAGGAGATCTTTGATCTAAAAAGAAAGAATCCTACAAAAGATGGAAACTAGCTCAAATTACAAAGGATGAATATAAACAAATAGCACAAGTACATTGGGACAAAGTTAGACAGGCCAAGGCACAAAATGAGCTCAAACTTGCTAGAAACATAAAAGGGAAACAAGAAAACATTCTACAAATGCGTTAGAAGCAAGAGGAAGACTAAGGACAAGTAGGATCATTACTGAATCGGGGGGGGGGGGGAAATAACAACAAAAGTGGAAATGGCAGAGATGCTTAATGACTTTGTTTCAGTTTTCACCAAGAAGGCTGATGGCAATTGAACATCTAATATAGTGAATGCCAGTGAATATAAGGTGGGATCAGGCTAAAACAGAAAAAGAACAAGTTAAAAATACCTTGGACAAATTAGATGTTTTCAAGTCACCAGGGCCTGATGAAATGCATCCTAGAATGTGCAAGGAGCTGACTGAGGAGCAATCTGAGCCATGATCTTTGAAAAGTCATGGAAGATGGGAGAGATTCCAGAAGACTGGAAAGGGCAAATATAGTGTCCATCTATAAAAATGAAACAAGGACAACCTGGGGAATTACAGACCAGTCAGCTTAATTTATGTACCTGGAAAGATAATAGAGCGAAAGCAATCAATGTGCAAACATCTGGAAGAAGATAAGGTAATAAGTAACAGTCGGCATGGATTTGTCAAGAACAAATCCAGTCAAACCAAACTGATAGTTTCCTTCGATAGGGTAACAAGGCTTGTGGATGAGGGGAAGCAGCAGATGTCATATAGCTTAACTTTACTAAAGCTTTTGAAACTGCCTCCCATGACCTCATAAATATAACACAGTTGCAAAAATGGCAGACATAGTTCTGAGATGTATTAGAAGGAGTCCCGTAAGCAAGACACAAGAAGTCATTCTTCTTCTTTGCCCTGATTGGGCCTCAACTGGAGTACTGTGTCCATTTGTGGGTGCCATCTTTCAGGACCGATGTGGACAAGTTGGAAGAAGCCTGGAAAAGAGCAACAAAAGGTCTAGAAAGCATGACCTATGAGGGGAAAAAATGGGTTTGTATAGCCTAGAGAAGAAAATATTGGGAGGGGACATAACCCTTTTCAAGTACATAAAAAGTTGTTACCAGAAGGAGGGAGGAAAATTGTTGTTTTAAATCTCTGAGGATGTGTCTACACACAATTCTTATTTCAGGAGAAGGATGCAAATAGCGCTGCACATTTGCATACTTCCTCCAGTTATTTTTTGGAAGATGCTCTTCCGGTATTTACCCGTGTCTACACGTGGCCGAATTTCAAAATAAACTCCTTATTTCTCCTACAATAGGGGTTTATTTCAAAATCCGGCCAC